GGAGCATTTCTCCAGTCTCCGCTCCCCCAGTAATCAGTCTACTGAAGGCAAGATGGAGCATTTTCTCAGTCTCCTCTAATGACCAGTCTGCTGCAGGCAGGAGGGAGCATTTCTCCAGTCTCCTCTCCCCCAGTAATCAGTCTACTGAAGGCAAGATGGAGCATTTCCTCAGTCTCCTCTAATGACCAGTCTGCTGCAGGCAGGAGGGAGCATTTCTCCAGTCTCTTCTCTCCCCAGTGATCAGTCTACTGAAGGTAGGAGTGAGCATTTCCTAAGTCTCCTCTCCTCTATTGACCAGTCTGTTGCAGGCAGGAAGGAGCATTTCTCGTCTCCTCTCCCCCAGTGATCAGTCTACTGAAGGCAGGAGGGAGCATTTCCTAAGTCTCCTCTCTATTGACCAGTCTGTTGCAGGAAGAAGGGAACATTTCCTAAGTCTCCTCTCCTCTATTGACCAGTCTGTTGCAGGCAGAAAGGAGCATTTCCTCAGTCTCCTCTCCCCCAGTGATCAGTCTTTTGCAGGGAGCATTTCCTCAGTCTCCTTTCCACAGTGACCAGTCTGCTGGAGGGAGGAGGAAGCATTTTCTCAGTCTCTCCCCCAGGTATCAACCTGTTGCAGGCCAGAGGAGGCATTGCCTCAGTCTCCTCTCCCCCAGTGTTCACACTGCAACATTGTAACTTTGCTGCATCCTCTCTCCTTGTGACTCGCTACAAAGAATAATCTGTGTCAGACGTCTGCAAACAAAGCAAAGAACTACACAGGCACCAGGATTTACTGAATTGTGTCTAAGAAGTACATGGTGACCCTGAATGATGCTTGAAGAAAGATGGCCTTGTTCTTCTAGAGGGAGACACAGATAAAGACATTGTGGGGGGGGGGGGGTACTATGAGGGGTAACACCTGAAAGGGTTGCAATGACATATTACTGAGCATGCAGATGGAAGATACACTATATTGCCAAACGTATTGGGCCAGCCCTCCAAATCATTGGATTCAGGCTGATACCCGGCCACATTCAGGGACTCACACTGCTTGGATTTAAAAATACATTCAATCATGTGTTAATGACTAGCGTTGCAATAACGTGTGTTTTTATATTTGCCTAAAATACAGATTTCTGTATTAATTTTTTGCAAAGTAGACATTAATCCGCTTCTGCCACCCCCCCCCCCCCCGTGTCATTCCCTCCATTGCCCCCCGATTGCCCAACGCATTAAATTCAAACTACTAACTCTGACATACAAAGCCATTCACAACGCTGCCCCAAACTACCTCACCGACCTCATACCCAAGTACCACCCTACCCGTACCCTTCGCTCCTCACAAGACCTCCTACTCTCCAGCTCCCTGGTCTCCACCTCCCACGCCCGACTGCAGGACTTCTCCAGGACTTCCCCCCCATCCTCTGGAACTCACTACCCCAATCCATCAGACTGTCACCTACCCTCCTCACCTTCAGGCGCACCCTGAAAACCCATCTCTTCAGGGAAGCCTACCCTGCCCTCACCTAACAGCCGATCTCCTCCATTCCTCCTACCACTCCATCCCCCACAGCCACTTCCTCCTGTACCTCTACCCCCTCCCTCCTAGATTGTAAGCTCCAAGGAGCAGGGCCCTCAAACCTCTTGTGTAATGTTTTGTTACTGTATTGTCTCATGTTCTGTCCCCCACTATAATGTACAGCGCTGAGCAAACCTTTTAGCACTATATAAATACTGTATAATAATAATACTTTCACAGAGGGGATTCCCCATCCTGTGTGCAGGGAATACGTTTCTGAGTCCCTACAGCATCCAGTTGCTGCATATTTCACCCTGTGGTTGATTTTGATAGGCTCCTGGCCCTGGACATTACACAGCACCTGTGCTTCCCCTGAGCCCAAAAGGAGCCTGGTTTTTACACTGTATGGGTCTATTTTCATGGCATACCTTCTTTTTGATTGAGAGAGGACATCACTGGCTCTCTGAGCTTCCCTATGCAATACAAACGGACAGAAGGGGGTGCCAATCTAAGTGTAGAGGGTTATCATTTTGACCTGGACCCTCCCCGCTGGTGGACTTACGGCTTACCAAAGGATGACCTTACCATGCTTTCTTACCCATGATGTTTGTGAGTAGTTTTAATACCCTATGTTATTATTAACCCCTTGCCTACCGGGCACTTATACCCCCTTCTTTACCAGGCCAATTTTCAGCTTTCAGCGCTGTCGCACTTTGATTGACAATTGCGCGGTCATACAAGATTGTACCCATATGAAATTTTTAGCATTTTTTTTCCTCACAAATAGAGCTTTCTTTTGGTGGTATTTAATCGCCGCTGGGTGTTTTACTGTTTGCGCTATAAACAAAAATTGCAAAAAAATGTGCAAAAAAAAAAAAAAGTTTGTTTCTATTATAAAATTTTGCAAATAGGTAATTTTTCTCCTTTACTGATATGTGTTGATGAGGCAGCACTGAAGGGCACTGATAGGCAGCACTGCTGATGGGTACTGATAGGTGGCACTGACTGGCAACACTGCTAGGAATTGACTGGCGGCACTGCTAGGCATTGACTGGCACAACCGCTGAGCATTGGTGGCACTGACTGGCAGGACTGCTGGGCTGCACTGATGGGCACAGGTGGGTGGCATTGCTGGGCACAGGTGGGAGGAACTGGTGGGTTGCACTGCTGGGCACCTATCATCAGGGCACTGACCATCAGTGCCCTGATGATCGGTGCCGATCCCCCCGCCGCTCTGACAACTGCCGATCCTCGGCAGTACTTTCCTCACACTCTGACAGCGCAAGGAAAGTGAAGCCGAGAAACCGGCAATTGCATTTCCCAGAGATCAGCGTGTCATTGGACAAGGCTGATCACGTGGTGAAAGGCCGCTGTGATTGGCCTTTTACCACATCACGTAATCAGCTGTGGCCGTAGGACACAGCGATCACGGAGATCGCCGGGGGCGCGTTCTGGGAGGATGTCATATGACGCCCACCCAGAAATGGCCGGCCGCAGTGTAGCCGTCATTCGGCTAATTGCAGTCGGCAACTAGTTAAAATAATAACCCTCTACACTTCGATTGGTGCCCCCTTCTGTCCATTTTTATCTTCTGCAGTTTTGATTCGCTCTATGGGGGCTGCCTTCACCTGCCGTACACCATTTATGATCCCTGGATTATGGACTTTTATATGTCTTATCTGTCATTTTTATTATCATTAACACATTCTATTCTATATCCTCCATTCCTCCCTCCTTTATTTTATACTGACCATCCACTATATTTTATCAATTCATTTTCCAGTTTGGTCCCCTCCAAGCGCCGATTTGTTCCTTTTTTCCCCCCTATGCAATACAAGCATATCACGGCTGATAGGAGGGGCTGGCAGGGCGCTGTACAGTCACCGCACCGTGCCGCAGTCCTCCTATCAAGAGCCCTCGGTCCTGATGCAAGCGGTGGGCTGGATTTTAGGAAGGCAAATAGTAAAATGTACTGATTGGTGGATGCAAGTCTGGAGGAGTGGACGTTTCTAAGACGACTTCATGTGCATGTAGCCATAAGTAACACGTGTGACGCTGAGCCTCCACCAATGAAAGAACTCAAATCCAATGAATGAAAATTCAAAATGTTAACAACGTATAAAGCCATTTATAACTCTGCCCCAAATGACATCACCAATTTTGTCTCTAAATATCACCCAAACCGTACTCTCCGCTCCTCGCAAGACCTCCTACTCTCTAGCTCCCTTGTCTCCTCCTCCCATGCTCGTCTCCAGAGCTTCCCCCATCCTCTGGAACTCTCTACCCCAATTTATCAGACTATCGCCTACTCTGCTCACTTTTAGGCGATCTCTGAAAACCTCTCTCTTCAGGGAAGCCTATCCTCCCCTCAGCTAATAATGGAATCTTCTACTCCTCCTACTAGTCCATCCCCCACAGTTATTACCTTTTGTACCACTAGCCCCTCCCTCTTAGATTGTAAGCTCCCAGGATCAGGGCCCTCCTATCCCTCTTGTACTGAACTGTATTGTTGCTGTATTGTCTCCCGTTCTATTGTAAAGCGCTGAGCAAACTGTTGGCGCTATATAAATCCTGTATAATAATAATAATAATAATAATAATGAAAGGGGGGGGGCTAGGGACAGTCAGGCTGGGGAGAAAAGAGCTAGGTGATGCTGGGACCTCCCCAGCCAGGAAATAAAGTAGGCTCTGACATGAGGCATCTTCGAACACAGACCATGAGAAGCTCACAGTGTGCAGCGTAAGCAAATAGTCAGGAGAGGAGCCTGTACAATTGTGGAAGAGTGAAGGGAAGGGCGGAGGTCAGCTTTAACTTTAAAAAAAAAAAAAAAAAAAACTTTTTTTATACTTTAGATTTATTTTATCGGCAGAAAAGAATGGGACAGTAAGAAAAACATTGTCAGAAGGTCTAACCCTTCCCCGCACTCTACTAGACAAGAATTTTTGGTTTTGTACAGCCTTAGGCAATACAGGTGGGCCCTCATGAACAACAGACCCAAAGGGGGTCATTTTACTAAAACTGTAGAGTGCAAAATCTGGTGCAGCTCTGCATAGTAACCAATCAGCTTCCAGGTTTTATGGTCAAAGCTTCGCTGAACAAGCTGAAGCTAGAAGCCGATTGGCCGCCATGCACAGCTGCTCCAGATTCGGAGTGCTCCAGTTTTAGTAAATCGCCCCCTAAAGAGTGGTTAAGGTGAGTTCAGCAGCAATAAAAGATTTTACCGATCTCAAAGATAATAAAATTGTCTGTTCATTAACATCTATTTCATTGCATTTTATATAAAAAAAATATGAGCAGCTAAATTCATTCACATGAAAATCATCAACATTCATTTTTTTCCCCCCCCATTTTCAAGTTTTCGTTTCCACCATTGACAAGAATGGATTAGGAGAAGAGCCACGCCCCCTACGGGGTGGGCCACGTGTAAGGCAAGGTGTTTCTTCATTGACTGAGGGGTGTTCGGCACTGTTGGTATTGCGGACGCCAGTCGGCACTCCTCTTTCACAAGTTTGGCGCAGCCCAGTTTAAGAATTTCATGGCGACTTCGAATCCTAAGAAGCAAGCCTAGGGGGAGAAGAGAGAAGGGGGGGAAATGTGAGTAATTAAGCGGTTTTTACTTTGCAAACCTTTTCAATTAAAACATATTGATTGAGAAAGCGATGAGCGCGGGATTACACCAGTCCGCTCAAACAGGGAAATCTGTTAATCCAGATTATCAGCGGTCGCTGGAGGCCGGTTTAGAAAGCACTAATGATTTTCAGGCTCTGATCGCATTCTCCGCGCTTCCTTCTACTGCCGCGTCTATGAATGTTCCGGATGCAGCTCACGGACTTGGGAATCTGTAGAACCCGGGAGGATCTTAGCGAGGATTCACCAACTGTCTTTCAGTAGCTACTTATCTACAGCAGGGGTTGCCAAACTTTCTAAACAAAGGGCCAGTTTGGTGGGGGGTGGGGGGTCTGGGAAATCAGACTGTGGCCAGTGGGAGTATTAAATGTCCTTGGTGTCAGAGGGAGGAAGAGCGGCCCGTCGTCGGGGGTCAGAGGGTGGAAGAGCGACCCGTCGTCGAGGGTCTCAGAGGGAGGAAGATTGCCCCGTCCTTGATCTCAGTGGGAGGAAGAGCACCCCAGTTATGGATCTCAGTGGGAGGAAGAGCACCCCAGTGGATCTCAGTGGGAGGAAGAGCACCCCAGTTATGGATCTCAGTGGGAGGAAGAGCACCCCAGTTATGGATCTCAGTGGGGGGAAGAGCTCGTGGACCTCAGTTCTGGGAAAATCAGACTGTGGTCAGTGGGAGTATTAAACATCATTGGTATCAGAGGGAGGAAGAGCGCCCCGTCGCTGGCGTCAGAGGGAGGAAGAGCGCCCCGTCGCTGGCGTCAGGGAGGAAGAGCGCCCCGTCGCTGGCGTCAGGGAGGGAGAGAGGAAGAGCGCCCCGTCGCTGGCGTCAGAGGGAGGAAGAGCGCCCCGTCGCTGGCGGGAGGAAGAGCGCCCCGTCCTGGCGTCAGAGGGAGGAAGAGCGCCCCGTCGCTGGCGTCAGAGGGAGGAAGAGCGCCCCGTCGCTGGCGTCAGCTCGCTGGCGTCAGAGGGAGGAAGAGCGCCCCGTCGCTGGCGTCAGAGGGAGGAAGAGCGCCCCGTCGCTGGCGTCAGAGGGAGGAAGAGCGCCCCGTCGCTGGCGTCAGAGGGAGGAAGAGCATCCAGTCGCTGGCGTCAGAGGGAGGAAGAGCGCGCCGTCATTGATCTCAGTGGGAAGAGCACCCCGTCATTGATCTCAGTGGGAGGAAAAGCGCTCCGTCATTGATCTCAGTGGGAGGAAAAGCGCTCTCGTCATTGATCTCAGTGGGAGGAAAAGCGCCCCGTCATTGATCTCAGTGGGAGGAAAAGCGCCCCGTCATTGATCTCAGTGGGAGGAAAAGCGCCCCGTCATTGATCTCAGTGGGAGGAAAAGCGCCCCGTCATTGATCTCAGTGGGAGGAAAAGCGCCCCGTCATTGATCTCAGTGGGAGGAAAAGCGCCCCGTCATTGATCTCAGTGGGAGGAAAAGCGCCCCGTCATTGATCTCAGTGGGAGGAAAAGCGCCCCGTCATTGATCTCAGTGGGAGGAAGAGCTCGTTGGCCACAGTGGAGAGGGGGGGGGGGGGGCTGGGAAATTAGACTGCGGCCAGTGGGAATATTAAATGTTGTTTGTTTCAGTGGGAGAAGAGTGCCCCTTCAACGGTGTCAGTGGGAGAAGAGCGCCCTGTCGTTGGTGTCATTAGGGGAATAGCTCCACGTCGTTTGGGTCAGTGGGAAGAAAAGCACCCCAAGGGTTGGATAAAAGCAAGCAGAAGCTGCAGTTTGAAGACAAATGATCTTCAGCACTGGTTCTCAACATTCTTGGGACCACAGCCTGGTAAATTCTTGCAAAACCTTCCATGCCCCAAAAAGAAAAAAAAAAAAAAAAAAAAAAAAAAAAAAGCAAAAGCAAAAAAGGGAATGCAAAATATGTATTGAAATACAGGAAGCCTCTGGGTGTGTGAGGGATGGGGATTCTGGAGGAGGTTGGGGTACTCTACACCAGACTTGCTGGCCCTGTGGATGATGAGGTTTCTGGAAGGTGTACTGTGGGAGACTGGAGGATGCTGTGGGAGAGCAGGAGCAGTGTGGGACCCTGTTGAAGAATGGGAGAACTATGGAGGAGGGCTGGAGGTTATGCAGTAGGCAGGGGTCACTACAGAGAGGCTGAAGAACACTATGGGAGGTTATGGGATCTGCAGCTGGCTGGAGACACAATAGGTGGGAAAGTCTAACATCAGATGACACCTTGGATTTTGGTGCTGGCTGCAGCAAAAGCCGGAGATGGAAAAGAGCGTTCTAAAAAGAATAAGTAAGGAGGGAGTCAATTACACTAAACCTTACATGGGCAAGGTTACAGTGTGTCTTTAATAACCCCTACCCCCCCTGTGGTCACGTGACAGTGCTTGGGCCGAAAAATTGGCAGTTGGGGTCACCTAATGCGATGGAGGCAGGATTATTAATGGAGCGACGGTATAGAGAGGGAGGGGTGCTTTGGTCTTGATGGGATCCATTTCTGAGATCATACATGAGAGAGAGAGAGAGAGAGAGAGAGAGAGAGAGGGGGGAGAGAGAGAGGAGGGGGAGAGAGAGGGAGAGGGGGGAGGGGAGGGGGGGGGGAGGGGGGGGGGAGAGGGGGAGAGAGAGGGGAGAGAGAGGGGAGAGAGGGGGAGAGAGAGAGGGAGAGAGAGGGGAGAGAGGGGGAGAGAGAGGGAGAGAGAGAGGAGAGAGAGAGGGGAGAGGGGGGAGAGAGAGGGGAGAGGGAGAGGGAGAGAGGGAGGGAGAGGGAGGGAGAGGGAGGGAGAGGGGGAGGGAGGGAGAGGGAGGGAGAGGGAGGGAGAGGGAGGGAGAGGGAGAGGGAGAGAGAGGGAGAGGGAGAGAGGAGGGAGAGGGAGCGCGAGCGCGCCAGGGGCGGACTGACCATTTGGAAACTCGGGCACTGCCCGAGGGCCCGGGGTCAGTAGGGGGCCCCATGAGATGCCCCTGGTACCTTTTTCATAGGCTTTTTTTGAGTTTGGGCAAGGACACAGGGGCCCCATGATCCCCTATTGTCCGGGGGCCCAATTAGTTGTCAGTCCGCCCCTGCAACGGGGCAACCAAGCCCCTTATGTGATAGCATGGGCAGGTGGCAGGTCCTCTTTATGGAGAGATTAGGAGTCTATGAGACCCCCAATATCCCCCTGCCCTCCACTGCTGCTAACCAAAAACAGATCATTCATTCATATATATAGGAATACCCATTGACATACCGCGTTAGCTGGGAAGGCCCGAAGCATGACTGCTGTGAATCCTTTATACAGAGATCCTATCCCTTCCTCTCGGATCAACTCCCGTAAAACATCCCGGAATCCATTGGGATATTTTCCAGCTGGGGCTGTACAAGAAAAAACATGACATCATGAACATGACTTCATCAACGCGTCTACAAATACTGAAACCATCATTCTCTAGTGCAGACTTTATTATGATTGGCTCTGTGAGTTTCTCAAACAATGATGCTGGTCATATACGCTGATCAGCCACAACATTATGACCACTGATAGGTAAAAGGAATAACATCGATTATCTTGTTACAATGGTACCTGCAAGTGGGCGGGATATATTAGGCAGCAAGAGAACATGTTGTGCCTGAAGTTGATGTGTTGAAAGCAGAAAAAAATTGGCAAGTGTAAGGATTTGAGCAACTCTGACAAGGGCGAAATGCAATGTCTAGACCAGGGGTCTCTAAACTTTCTAAAACAAAGGGCCAGTTTACTGTCCTTCCGACATTAGAGGGGCTGGACTGTGGCCACTGGGTGTAGAAAAGGTCCCGACATCAGTGGGAATAAGCCATGACCCTTCTTTTGGTGTCATTGGGAGGAATTTTGCCCCACTGTTGGTGTCATTGGGAGGAATTTTGCCCCACTGTTGGTGTCATTGGGAGGAATTCTGCCCCACTGTGGTGTCATTGGGAGGAATTCTGCCCCACTGCTGGTGCCATTGGGAGGAATTTTGCCCCACTGCTGGTGCCATTGGGAGGAATTCTGCCCCACTGCTGGTGCCATTGGGAGGAATTCTGCCCCACTGCTGGTGCCATTGGAGGAATTTTGCCCCACTGCTGGTGCCATTGGGAGGAATTCTGCCCCACTGCTGGTGCCATTGGGAGGAATTCTGCCCCACTGTTGGTGCCATTGGGAGGAATTTGCCCCACTGTTGGTGCCATTGGAAGAATTTTGCCCCACTGTTGGTGCCATTGGAAGGAATTTTGCCCCACTGTTGGTGCCATTGGGAGGAATTTTGCCCCACTGTTGGTGCCATTGGAAGGAATTTTGCCCCACTGTTGGTGTCATTGGAAGGAATTTTGCCCCACTGTTGGTGTCATTGGAAGGAATTTTGCCCCACTGTTGGTGTCATTGAAGGAATTTTGCCCCACTGTTGTGTCATTGGAAGGAATTTTGCCCCACTGTTGGTGTCATTGGAAGGAATTTTGCCCCACTGTTGGTGTCATTGGAAGGAATTTTGCCCCATGTTGGTGCCATTGGGAATTGTGCCCCTTCATTGGTGTCCATGGAGGGAATTATGCCAAATTGTTGATATCAGTGGATGAAATAGTGTCCCAAGGGCCAAGAAAAAAAGAAATCCAGGGGCCACATCCGGCCCCCAGGCCACAGTTTGGAGACCAGTGGTCTAAACAAATGGATCAGCACAACTTCAAAAACTACAGCTCGTGTGGGATGTTCCCAGTCTGCAGTGGTCAGGACCAACCAAAAGTGGTCCAAGAAAGGAAAACCTTCCGGCAACAGAGTCTTGGACGGCCAATGATTCACATGGAGAGCGAAGAACTGGTCCATGTAGTCCAGTCCAACAGAGGAGCTACTGTAGCTCAGAATGGTGAAAAGTTAATGATGGTTCCTACAGAAAGGTATCAAAACACATAGAGCATTGTAGTTTGTTGTGTATGGGGCTGTGTAGCAGCAGACCGGTCAGGGTGCCCACGCTGACCCGCGTCCACAACCAAAAGTGCCTACAATGGGCACGAGAGCCTCAGAACTGGACCACAGAGCAATGGAGAAAGTAGCCTGATCTGACTAATTCAAGAATGGTTTGAGGAACACAAGTTCAAGTTGTTGACTTGGCCTCCAAATTCTCCAGATCTCAATCCAATTGAGCATCTATGGGATGTTCTGGAAAAACAAGTCCAATCCATAGAGGCCCCACCTCCCAACTTATCTGCTACTGACAGCTTGGTGCCAGATGCCACAGCATACCTTCCGAGGTCTAGTAGAGTCCATGCCTCAATAGAACATGGTGTGTGGTCATAATAATATGGCTGACTGGTGTAGGTGACAGTTGGTATACTACAAAGAAGGAGATGGCTCTCGAGCTCATAGAGATGAGGAAGGCCCCAGCTGTTCATGTTGTAGATCAGGGGTGTCAAACTGGCGGCCCTCCAGCTGTTGCAAACTACAAGTCCCATCATGCCTCTGACTTTGGGAGCCTGCAGTTATAAGCTGTCAGCTCCCAATGTCTCATGGGAATTGAAGTTTGGCAACAGCTGGAGGGCCGCCAGTTTGACACCCTTAGTGTAGATCAATAGTAGTCAACTTGTTCTTAAATTGGGGGCCTCAGATGTGGCCTCTGACATCACCAAAGGGGTGCACAGTGTATGCAATGGCACAAATCAGGAGTCTCCAATCTACAGCCTGCAGGCCACATCCGGTAAACTACAAGATTATACCCAGCCTGCCACGTATTAGTGTCATGCATTTCCATGGTGCAGTTGGACCAGCTGCCAGCACCATAGCAACCAAGGGTATCTAGGAAACATGAGGGGAGATTACCTAAAACTGGCATACCCAGAATCTGGTGCATCTGTGCATGGTAGCCAATTAGCTTTTAACTCTTCTCCCGATGAGCATCCAGGGGGGTGGCGACCCTCCCGATGAGGGGGGGGAGGAGGGCGGCGACCCTCCCGATGAGGGGGGGGGAAGGAGGGCGGCGACCCTCCCGATGAGGGGGGGGAAGGAGGGCGGCGACCCTCCCGATGAGAGAGGGGGGGGGGGGGGGGAAGGAGGGCGGCGACCCTCCCGATGAGGGGGGGGGGGGAAGGAGGGCGGCGACCCTCCCGATGAGGGGGGGGGGGGAAGGAGGGCGGCGACCCTCCCGATGAGAGGGGGGGGGGGGGGGGGAAGGAGGGCGGCGACCCTCCCGATGAGGGGGGGGGGGGTGGAGGGCGGCGACCCTCCCTATGAGGGGGGGGGGGGGGAGGGCGGCGACCCTCCCGATGAGGGGGGGGGGGGAGGGCGGCGACCCTCCCTCGATGAGGGGGGGGGGGGGAGGGCGGCGACCCTCCCCTGAGGGGGGGGGGGGGGGGGGGGGGGCGGCGGCGACCCTCCCTATGAGGGGGGGGGGGGGGGGGAGGGCGGCGGCGACCCTCCCTATGAGGGGGGGGGGGGGAGGAGGGGGCGGCGACCCTCCCTATGAGGGGGGGGGGGGGGGGGGGGGGGAGGAGGGAGGAGGCGCGACCCTCCCTATGAGGGGGGGGGGGGGGGGGGGGGAGGGCGGCGACCCTCCCTATGAGGGGGGGAAGGAGGGCGGCGACCCTCCCTATGAGGGGGGAAAGGAGGGCGGCGACCCTCCCTATGAGGGGGGAAGGAAGGAGGGCGGCGACCCTCCCTATGAGGGGGGAAGGAGGGCGGCGACCCTCCCTATGAGGGGGGAAGGAGGGCGGCGACCTCCCTATGAGGGGGGAAGGAGGGCGGCGACCCTCCCTATGAGGGGGGAAGGAGGGCGACGACCCTCCCTATGAGGGGGGAAGGAGGGCGGCGACCCTCCCTATGAGGGGGGAAGGAGGGCGGCGACCCTCCCTATGAGGGGGGAAGGAGGGCGGCGACCCTCCCTATGAGGGGGGAAGGAGGGCGGCGACCCTCCCTATGAGGGGGGAAGGAGGGCGGCGACCCTCCCTATGAGGGGGGAAGGTGGGAGGCGACTCTCCCGAGGGGGAAGGTGGGAGGCGACTCTCCCGAGGGGGAAGGTGGGAGGCGACTCTCCCGAGGGGGAAGGTGGGAGGCGACTCTCCCGAGGGGGAAGGTGGGAGGCGACTCTCCCGAGGGGGGAAGGAGGGAGGGCGACTCTCCCGAGGGGGAAGGAGGGAGGCGATTCTGATATGAAAGCTTTTGGAGTATGTTTATTAATTCATGTAAATTTTGTTTATAAAACGGATTTGTTTTTTTCGCTGCAAATCTTTGTAAAATAGAAGATGTGGCCATTGTACTGGAAGGTTTGGGGACCCCTTCTACTAATAACGGTCAGATCAGACATAATTCAGTAGATGGTCAGAAACTGCACTTGCCACAAGCACATTTGGAGACTAGGAACATAGTGAAGGAGACTGTCAAAGCCTCGGTACTTGCTACACAAGACTGCTAAAACTCAATGCCTTTACAGCCTGCCTAACATAATGAACATCTATTATAAAATGTTGCTAGAAAAAAAAAAAAAAAAAAACCACAAAAGTGAAAAAAAAAAAAAACACACAAAAGTGAAAAACAAAAAAAAACACAAAAAGGTGAAAAACAACAACAAAAAAAAAGTTAAAAAAAACCCAGTGGAAAAAAAAAAAAACAAAACAGAAAAAAAACAAAACAAAACACAAAAAAGAAAAAAAAAAAAAAAAAAAAAAAAAACCCCAAAGTGGAAAAAAAAAACCCCCAAAAACACAAAAAAAAAAAAAAAAGAAGAGCAGACTACAGAAAAAGTAAGGAAAAAACTAAACAAATGAACCAAATAGTTTCACTACAAAACTCCCGGTTTATGAATAGTTTCTATAAATATCTTTAGGGAGGGAACCTATGCAAGTACAAACAGACCGCAGCCTGGTGGGGGCCGCATGTGGCCCTGGGGATGTACACTGGGCCCCAGGGGTGTACGTTGGGCCCCTGGGCTATAGACTCATCATTAATGGTCAGGAAGGAGTTACGTTTATGGAAAATGTAAAGTCTATAAGTTCCTGTGAATGATATCGGCTTTCGTAGGCAATTCAGTGTAATTAACAGCTCCGCTGACTCCAATTCAGCGCCCCGCAGGCCGCACATTATCTGCCCTCGGAGAAGTGGAAAGAAGAAGGAGGAAAGAATATACCGGGGAATTTGATGTAACACAAGTCTTACATTAATGGAAAAGCCTGCAGAGCCTCACAGTGAGGCCAGTCATTCACCCACCTGTCTGGAAGCGAGATTTTAGCACGTCTGGGGGAATTGCAACAGCCCAGTTAAAGATTCCGGCCATTCCTCCAGCAAAGAGGATCCGAGGGACGCTCAGATCGTTTACACTGTCAGAGCAGGGAGAGAAAAAAAAAATTAAAATTTTACGTGTACGTCAGGCCAAAACATTTTTTTTTACAAATCTGTTCATATAAAAGAGCGCTGATCACTAACATCTAATCCAAAAGATGAAATATATATAAAATATATACAAAAATCCCTTTGTGAAAAATTGTGGAAACAACCGATATAATGTAACAAACCATCCTATACCTCCAATTCACATATAATATAGTGCAATGTAATCCTTCCAGATGCATGAAGCACAGTACCGGTACGTCGCTGGACTCCAAGAAGTTATACCCGATACCGTTTTTTTTTTTTGTTTGTTTTTTTTTTTTTGTTTTAGAGCCGGCGGTCAGCTCTCTTGTAAAAGCAATCGGAGTGGCTAACTAGCCTCTCGATTGCTTTTCCAAGCAGCGATAGGAGACGTTCCCCCACCACCCTCCCACAGCTCTCCCGTCCCACTGGGAGACCCAAGTGACCAACTGGCACAACAGCAATCGCCCCACACATGAGCCATCATTGCGAACGTCAGATCACAGGCAGTAATCCTAGCACCCGATCCTCTCTGAAAATCTAAAGCGGTAACCTGTAAAGGCTTCTAAAGCATCGCCTATGGATTGTAACATTTACGTCGTTTGTTGCTGTTGCACGAGCGTGCGCAATTTTAAAGCATGACATGTTAGATATCTATTAGCAAATATCTGTGTGACTTGCGAGCCAGTCTATATCCACCCAATATTAACCTCTCAAAATCAAGAAACTGGACACTCACTGTCCCAAATATAAATAGGATCGCAAACACTAAACACAACACTACCTCTGTGTCAAAAAAAGTCAAAAATACATGATGTGTTGCGCTCCCAGTGAAAATATCTTTGATATATATATCTAATTACCCCTGGTGTGCAAATATATTCTCAGGTGGTAAACCAAAAACTTGAAAAATCAAAAGGTTATTTGAGAAAAAGTAAACCACTAATATATATGTATATGTGAAGATATTAACCCCAAAAACCAATAAGTGGTGAATTATGTACTAAAACATATGAAAATGAATATACATCATAAATAGTGAATATACAAACAAAAAAAAATTATTTTATATACTGCCAAATTATTGTGATATAAATGTCCTTTAAATTCAGTGACTTTGTGCTTGATTAAATCTTGATTTGGTGACTTTTTGTGAATCTGTGACTTTCTTTGAATCCTTAATTGGTGAAGATGTATGCTCACCTCCTTGTTAGCCTGCAATTAGGCTATACACACTTGTGGTTCACCTCCTATGGAACCTGCTTGGATGGAGTTCCTCCCTTACGGATGGTAAGAACGTGGATATGCGTTATCCTCAATTAGCCCATGTGCGTTTTTCCATATGTGGGGACAAATTGCCAGACATCGTGTTTTATCCTTATAGAAAGGTTTCTCCTTTATTACTTTCCAACAGGTACACTCACATATATGATATGCGGTATAGGATAAGTTGCTCAGCTCTAATAATCCGCCAGCCGTCCGGCCATGCACCTGCCGTCTGTCTGATACTCCGGCTCTCTCCGAGTGACACCGCAGCCCCACCCCTACGCGTTACGCCACAACCCCCTGATGAAGCCACGTGACCAGTGGCGTAACGCGTAGGGGTGGGGCTGCGGTGTCACTCGGAGAGAGCCGGAGTATCAGACAGACGGCAGGTGCATGGCCGGACGGCTGGCGGATTATTAGAGCTGAGCAACTTATCCTATACCGCATATCATATATGTGAGTGTACCTGTTGGAAAGTAATAAAGGAGAAACCTTTCTATAAGGATAAAACACGATGTCTGGCAATTTGTCCCCACATATGGAAAAACGCACATGGGCTAATTGAGGATAACGCATATCCACGTTCTTACTATCCGTAAGGGAGGAATTCCATCCAAGCAGGTTCCATAGGAGGTGAACCACAAGTGTGTATAGCCTAATTGCAGGCTAACAAGGAGGTGAGCATACATCTTCACCAATTAAGGATTCAAAGAAAGTCACAGATTCACAAAAAGTCACCAAATCAAGATTTAATCAAGCACAAAGTCACTGAATTTAAAGGACATTTATATCACAATTATTTGGCAGTATATAAAATAATTTTTTTTGTTTGTATATTCACTATTTATGATGTATATTCATTTTCATATGTTTTAGTACATAATTCACCACTTATTGGTTTTTGGGGTTAATATCTTCACATATACATATATATTAGTGGTTTACTTTTTCTCAAATAACCTTTTGATTTTTCAAGTTTTTGGTTTACCACCTGAGAATATATTTGCACACCAGGGGTAATTAGATATATATATCAAAGATATTTTCACTGGGAGCGCAACACATCATGTATTAATGTTAGATATCTATTTACTCGATGTAACATTTTTTAGATTTGACAAAAAAAAGTGTTTTTTGCATTAAAATTCAAAAAAGTATAAATTTTTTTTCTCAAAAAATTGTGTTTGAAAAACTGCTGCACAAATACCGTGTGACATACAAAATTGCAAAACCCACCATTTTATTCACTAGGGCCTTTGCTTTAAAAATATATCATGTTTAGAGGTTCTTACTAATTTTCTAGCAAAAAAAAAAAAAAAAAAAATCGATTTTTTCATGAAAAACAAAAAAAAAAAAAAAAAAAAAAAAAGTGTCAGAAAAACGCCTAGAGGTTAAGTGGTTAAAAATCAACGCCAGGCTGCCAGTTTCCTTCAGAACCTCTGTTAGGATCACCCAGCTAAAAATAGTCCGAGATAAAAGTTTTCCCTTTATTTCCGATCACAGATAAAAAGTAATGAGGACCATCGATTACCTGCGTCCTTCCTGCGTGAGGATCCTCTTCAGCCACTCGTAGGTCATAAAGTACATTCCGCTGGCTGGTACATCTAAAGAGGTAAAAAAAAGAAGTCGGCCATAAAACCGGTCTGGTTATCAGATTATACTCTCACATTCCCAGGTATCTCAGCAACACAAAATGGTCAGCTCAGCTCCAAGCGTCATAACCATATAACAATTATCACATGAAAGAGAAACGTATCTGGTGCACAACGTGCCGTAAATCACCAACTCATTCCAATGATTACATGATAAACTCTACCCATGATTAAAGTCAACAGCAAGCTGCTGGAGGAGGGAAATGATGCTGATGTTGTCTTGCAGCGCCGAGGTCCTGAATTCAGTCCCGCCACCGCCGCCGCTCTATGCATGGAGTTTGCAGGATCTAAACGCATTTGCCTCCGTCTGTCAATTTTTTTTTTACGTCCTGGGCAGTGACAGTGCAATAAACTATACCAGTGTTTCTCAACCTTTTTTAAAGTCAAGGCACCCTTAAAAATGGACAGTCCCGAGGCACCCTTAAAATTTATGGACAGTCCCAAGGCACCCTTAAAATTTATGGACAGTCCCGAGGCACCCTTAAAAATTATGGACAGTCCCAAGCCACCCCATTCTACAAAAATAAATCACCCCCTCAGAGTAGTACAGTGTTACTATGGTAACACTGAACTATGATGAAAGTATGTTAAAAAAAAAAAAAAAAAAAAGTAAAATGAAAAAAATAAAAAGCTAAAACTTTTTTTTAATTTAAATAACTGCCACTAGTCAGTGTCCCTGATCACTGCCACACTAGTCATAGGATGAGACTGTACAGCGCTGGTGACAGTATGTTAAAAAAAAAAAAAAAAAAAAAAAAAAAAAAAAAAAAAGATTCATTCCTTCATAGTACAGTGTAACTGTGGTGACACTGAACTACTCTGATAAAAGTATCTAAAAAAAATAAATAATTAAAAAAAAGTTTAAAAAAAAAAAAAAAAAAAGGTAACTTTTTTTAAACATACCCTGTTGTCACCAGTCAGCGTGCTTGATAACCACCACACCAATCGTAGGATGATGCTGTACTACACTGGTGACATCAGTACAAGACCAATTTTTTTTTTTACCAAAAGACATAGCAAAATACATTTTGGCCTAACTTTATGACAAAATTAGATTTTTATTGGATATGTGTTATAACAGAAAGTAGAAAATATTGTTGTTTGTTTTTTTCAAAATGTTGTTTTTTTTTGTTTATATATCACAAAAAAATAAACCCAGTGGTGATCAAATACCACAATTCAAAATACTAACCACAGCTTACAAACCCATCCACAACACTGCCCCATTGAGCTACATCACCGACCTCAACCACAGATATCGGCCAAATCGCCTGCTCCGCTCCTCCCATGATATCCTCCTCTCCAGCTCCCTCATCACCTCCTCCCACGCTCACCCCCAGGACTTCTCCAGAGCCTCTCCCATCCTCTGGAACTCCCTACCACAGCATGTCCGGTCAGCCCCCACCCTGTCTGCCTGCCTTAGGCGATCTTTGAAAACACACTTCTTCAGGGAAGCCTACCCCACCTCCACCTAAGAACTGTACTTGAATCACCTCCGCCAGATCATCCCCCGCAGCGGTCACCTTTTGTATCCCCTCCCCCTTCCTTTAGATTGTAAGCTCCAGGAGCCGGGGCCTCCTATTCCTTCTGTACTGAAATGTATTGTAATTGTATTGTCTCCCTTATATTGTACAGCGCTGAGCAAACTGTTGGCGCTATATAAATCCTGTATAATAATAATATATATATATAAATCCTGTATAATAATAATAATATTATATATAAATCCTGTATAATAGTAATAATAATATATATATATAAATCCTGTATAATAATAATAATAATAATATATATATATATATATATATATATCTATATATATATATATATATATCCTGTATAATAGTAATAATAATATATATATAAAATCCTGTATAATAATATATATAATAAAAATAATAATAATAATAGCTCGAAAGAGCAGGGCCCTTGAACCCCTCGTATATTGTATTGTTACTGTATTGTCTCATGTACTGTCCCCCCTATAATGTACAGCGCTGAGCAAACTTTTTAGCGCTATATAAATACTGTATAATAATAATAATATCACCAAAAGAAAGCTCTATTTGTGTGAGAAACAAAAAATAACAACTGTATGACCGCGCAACTGCCAGTTAAAGTAGCACAGTGCAGAATAGCAAATAATGGCCTGGTCATGAAATGACAAAATTTAATTGCATGACCACGTAACTGCCAGTTAAAGGCTACGTTCACACTAGCCTTGTTTTCAAAAATTTAATTGGCCAGAACTGCCAGTAAGGTGTTTGGGAAGCATTTTTTTACCGCTTCCCAAACGCCTCGGACAATTCTGTCCATTGCAGCACATGGTGCTGTTCTAACGGGAGCGGTAGCGTCGCGGTGCGGCAAAACGGACCCCTCTGGTTGAGTCAGGAGGAGTTGAAGCCTCCTATTCTAGCCAATGGTGCCGCTCCGCAAACGCCCAGCCGGCGTTTGCGGTGCGGTTGCGGGGCGTTTGCAGAGCGGTAACACCATCCAAACTTCATTATAGGCGTTTGTGGGGCGTTTTTAATGCTCGGCAAATGCCTAGGAACCACCGCTGAACCGCGCATGCAGCGTTTGCGGAGCGTTAAAAAACGCTCCGCAAACGCCGGACCAACGCTTGCCAAACGCTATAGAGGCGTTTGGCAAGAGTTGGTAAAACAGTCAAGTGTGAACGAGCCCTTAAAGTAGTGCAGTGCTGAATAGCCAATAATGGCCTGGTCATGAAATACTAAAAATTTCATTGCATGACCACGCAACTGCCAGTTAAAGTAGCGCAGTGCTGAATAGCAAAAAACCATTGGCCTGGTCATGAAGGGGGTAAAACCTTCCATAGCTGAAGTTATTAAAGCTCCAAAACCAACCCCATTAGGAGCGTCAACATTCAGCTGGGTTCTCTGTTCTCTGCGCTGTAAGTGGCGGTTTTCTCCAGCACTTTGGCGGCGGAGCGTCCAGATTGCTGTAGCGTATGGAGTAGCGTGAAGAATGCAATTAGCCAAGAGGGGCTGCTGTGACCTTGAATCATTTATTAGCCTTTTTTTTTTTCGACTCCAATGTGCAGAATTGTGCAGCCGTCACTCCGATTAGCATGTGAAATTTAATCAACAAAAAAGATCAGACTTTGGTTTAGAATCTCATTATCTACAGACAAGCTGTGGAACTCCAGAGCTGGGCAAACAAGAGGATCCGGAAAGAGTAAAAATAAAACTTGGCAAGAGCAGGCGGCACTAGAAACATACATCCGCAATATGTCCCTGCGCAAGGAGGCCCGCCGGACCGGCTTTTCCAAGAATGCTTTTTGGGCCAGTTCACACTACATGCGTTTCAGTTGCTTTTTTTCTGCATCCAAAAAGCACAGAAAGTAGGTGATATGGTTGTCAATGTCATCGTTCACATCAGTGCTTGCAGTTCCAGATGCAGAAAAACAAAAAAAACAAAAAAAAAAAAAAAAAAAGTAGAACAGGCTGCATTTTTCCTGCACAGAACTGTACTGGAACGCCATAAAATGCATCAAAAATGCATAAAAAAAAAAAAAAAAAAAAAAAAAAATGCATGTCTATTTAAATTGAAGAAAAAGAATGTGACAGGAGTCACTTTGGGAGGGGGGCCCATGGAACACAGCCCCCTTTGGAGAGGTGGGGAGACCCCTGTCTCAGCTCCCCATATCCCTATTATGTGTAAGTCACCCTGTGCCTGTTAGGGGTACAGGGTGAAATGTCCTGCTATTGAGTAGACATGTATAGGTGGGGTGTGGGGGGGGGGGTGTTCATTGTTTACGGCCATGTGGTCCCATTGTTCTATTGTGTCTTGCTTGGGAGCAAACTATTATGGGATGTATGTGTATTGGCTTGGTGGGAGGTGTCTGCTGTGTGTCTCCTTACTAAATGTATTGCCCCGCCCTGTGTATATATCTTGTATCTGTGTTACAATAAAGCAGTCTATTTCCTGTTTTATATACAAGTCTGGTGCTGTCTCGTCCTGTATGGTCAGCGGTGGGGTCCGTGGATCTGTGTTCAGACAGGGGAGCGGGAGTCTAACAGAAATACCCTAGTGCAGTCTGGGTCTGGTTCCGTTACAAAGAAAAAATTGAAGAAAAAGAGGGGGGAAAAAAATTAACCAGAACGAGTCAAAAATGCACCAGAACGCGCCAAAAACACGTAAAAAAAAACGCTCCTGCAGAAACGCATCCGGAACGCACCTGGACTGCGTTTCTATGTTTTTAACCAGTCCTTATTGTCAAAGCTTCATTGAACAAGCTGAAGTTAGATGCCGACTGGCTCCCATGCACAGCTGCACCAGATTCTGAATGCCCCAGTTTTAGTAAATCTCCCCCACAGACAGCATTAAAAAAAAAAAAAAAAAAAAACACAATTAAAAAAAAAAACCTTAAAAAGGGGTGTTTTATGCTATTTTACACTTTATACAAAACCAAAAAAATGTCTTGATTTTAGATATACTTGGATTGCCAATTACCTAATAAGAGCGGATTGTTAAATTGGTTGCAAATCCAAAATGTAACATAAATAAATAAAATGTAATAACAGAGTATGAGGTTTTTTTTTATTATTTCAGGTACTTATATAGTGCCGTCAGTTTTATATATATATATTGTACATTCGCATCAGTCCCTAACCCTCAAGGGGTGTACAATCTAAGGTCCCTAACCCTCAAGGGGTGTACAATCTAAGGTCCCTAACCTTCAAGGGACGTACAATCTAAGGGGGGCGTACAATCTAAGGTCCCTAACCTCAAGGGACGTATAATCTAAGGTCCCTAACCCTCAAGGGACGTACAATCTAAGGTCCCTAACCCTCAAGGGGCGTACAATCTAAGGTCCCTAACCCTCAAGGGGCGTACAATCTAAGGTCCCTAACCCTCAAGGGGCATACAATCTAAGGTCCCTAACCCTCAAGGGGCGTACAATCTAAGGTCCCTAACCCTCAAGGGGCGTA